TATATATATATATATATATAAAAATCAAGTTGCTTAGCAATGGCAACACAAATACTGTAGGCTTAATTTTCTATTTGATATATATATATATATATACAGTATATATATCTGTCTCTTATACACATCTAGATGTGTATAAGAGACAGTCATTATTATTATCATGCATCATCATCATCCCCTTCATTGTTATACATCTTACTCTTCATTCCATTATTTAACCTTACATTTTTATCACCAGTAGTCCACACGTCCGATTCCAGCAGATTGAGCTTTTCTCCATCAACCACTAGCTCTATAGGTTTGTCATTTACGATCGATATTTCGCTTTGGTCGTCAAAAATAAAGCAGCGTCGTGCGTAGCGAGTATTTTTAGCAGTGTCGTTAACTCCCAACACGGCGCAGTATACACCTATTGTAAAAATCACAATGGATATTAGCCGGTTGGTAAAAGACTTAATCGTTTACCCAGCATTTTCGTGATAATTAAACTTATGCTTTATACAGCATAATTTTAAAAAGTCCAGCGTAATGAACAGCTATAATAATAAAAACAAGCAGCTGAAAACAAAATCGATGTATGAATCTACATAAAACATGGAACAGTAATTTAACTGTCCCCTGAATAAATGTTTACAACCGATTTCAGTGGTCCACCTGTTATCAAATTTTACGACATGTATTTGTGAGTGACATTGGGTAATGGACATGCAAAACAAACTGATACTTGGTCATCTTGTAAACATTCAGAGACCTTTAGATCATAATGATTCAGGAAACGTTAAAAAGCGGGCGATTAAACTACTTCATAACAAAGTCGGTGTAAAGGCACTTGTCTATGCAAAACAGATATTTTAAATGGATTGTTCATTGATTTTAGTTTCGAAGTTTACAAGATGATTGTTGGGAGGTGGATATTTTTCTTTTTATTTCAACTGATACTATTAGGATCTATCCAGGCCTAGTATCGAATTCTATCACTTAATATATTAACTTTTTTATATTAAATTAATGTCTGGGTTAATACACACTTGCAAAAGTGAAGTTTAAAGACAACCACATTTTGTCATTTTCATATTGTCAATGAAATTTTAGGCAGCTGTCCCACTTTATTGTATACATGAAAGGCTTGTTTGTTTGTTTTATTTCTTTTTAATTATATTTACCTTACTCGCGCAAATAAGCGTACTGGCGCTTAGAATATTTTGGCTCTTTTTGAGAGGCGCTTATTCAAACGGGGCGCTTATGAAAACAGAGTGGAAATTAAGGGGCGCTTATGGAAGTATATGAAAATTTAAGGGATGCTTATGGAAAATTGGAAAATTCAAGGAGCACCTGTTTTTTAATCGAAGATAAACGAATGGTTTTGTTGAAGGAAAGATAATCGTCGAGAATACACGTCTCATGACAAGAATGTTGGGGGTTTGCACAACAGCAGATGGAATTAGTGGTGGTGATGTTGGTGGTGGTAAGTGTGTTGGCCATCTGCCCATTCAGATTAGCAGGACCATTGCATGGTTTCTTGCTTAGATACGAGAGTGATGAAGTCAGTTTATTTTGTTTGACTGAAAATGGCCATACAGTATTTTAATGTTTAGATATTAAATACTGTAGTTCTAAAGCAAAAAGGCCGGGTAGCAATAAAACAAGAACTGGATTCTAAAGATATATGAACACTGAAAACCATGTTAAACTTAATGGAGACTGATAGACAGACATATGGATAGATGGACTGACCGAACGACAATGCTATGATAGTGCGAATAGTTGATGCAGAAAATGAAGTTGGTGATGCAATGTACTGTACTGTATGATTGAATTTTTGGGGGAATCGAGGGGTATTCGAATGAGGTGCTTATTCGCGCGAGTACGTAATTTAAGTTTTTCTTGTTTTTCAGTATTAATATTTTGCGGTCTGAGTAGTGTGAGCTATTTTATTGTGGAGGTGGAGGGTGCTCTAAAAAGTATCCTATCATTACCAATACTCCCATGCATATGTCTAGAATTGGCGGGACAATTATAGACACTGCACAGATTGAGTGTGCCCCTTTATATATTATTTTTGTACGTGTACAATCTGTGCGAATACACAGCTACTG